CCTAAAAAAAAAAAACCAATATCTCACACACAAAAAAAAAAAAAAAAAAAGATATTAAGAAGGGATTTGTGATCAAGTTACAATATTGAAGATACCCCAAAATATCTAGTACAGAAATAGTGGAAAGGATGTTTCCTTTCTTTGAAAGGAGATATTCAAAGAAATAGAACAGAACAGGGCCAGCCCTATAGCCTAGTTGTTAAGGAAACCAGATCCCACAAGCCAACTGTGTTTCAAATTCCAGCCTGGGCAGCTTGAAAAACATACCATGCACATGTGTATGCATGCCCAAATTCCCAACAAGATAGAGAAGTGATTGTTGCATGACCATACCCCACGCTATGGGGTACTTTTATTCCTCTCTCTTTCTCTCTCAGTCTCTGTCTCTCTCCAGCAAGTACATATACCCTCTGTCAATTTAAGAAATAAATGGAAAAAATATCAAAAAACATTAATTCAAGGAAATATTCCTGAAATAAAGTGATTAAAACTACCTAGTAAAAGCACACCATGTACCCAAGGATATTGACTCATAAAGACCAACACAATGATATATTCTAGTAAAATCACTGAACTTGAAAAAAAGGGAAAAAATTATTTGGTTAAGAAAAAGAACAAGTGATTTATAAGGGGAAAAATTAGATCATTGTCAACTTGTCCACAACAGTGCTTTAGTATAGAAGTAGAGTAATATATTTAAGATAGTCAAGGGAAAAAATGTGAATCAATGATTTTATATCTAGCAAAGCTGATTTTCCAGTATAAAGACGATTGACAAATTGTTGTCAACATAAAAGAACTCAAGGAATATTATTCCTATGAGTCCTACCAAGGAAATCTACTAGATAATAAATTTCAAACATTGAAATATCTAGAGAAACATCCATTTAAGGACCAGTGGCAAGCATTAAACATGGTAGTTACTTGTAGAACCAAAACTAAATTAGGACTAAAAGGGAGAAATAGTACATTCAATGACTATCTACTCGGGCAATGCACTAATAGACAGACTACAACTCTTAAAAAGACTAGAGGGAGGGACCAGCAGTTGGCATAATGGCTATGTCACTGGATTCCCACGTAATCAACCACAGTTCGAGTCCCGGATCCAGTGGCTTAAACTCACGCCGGGTGTGCATGTGCCCCCAAGATCCCAAGGGGAGAATGAAGGAGAAGGGATTGCAGCCTGATTGTCCCCCCAGGGGGATGATTCTTTACTTTCTGTTTTTCTGTCTCTCTCTTGTTTTTCTAGCAAGTACACATGCCCTATAGCAAAAACCTCCTTAAAAAAAAAAAAAAAAAAAAAAAA